ATGCCATGTGTCAGGCTGCCTGATAGCCTTCACTATCAACCCTGGCCCTTAAAACCAAAGGCCACATGGCTAAATGACTACCATGTCATTCCCAGTGTTCATCATCCCCAAATGATATAAAAGCAAAATATAAGACATGAGGATCAATTTGAATAAAAATCATTCTCCAGTTTATCTAAATAAATATTCCTTTGGAATATGCACTGGAATATGTAGTGCATTTTCTGATTTATGAACTTTCTGTCTTTCAATACATCGAACTTTTAATTAAGAATACTGTACATGTGTATCTGAGAGAAGAATGTAAGCATGTGAGGAGAATGTCTGGATGTGTGAGAAAAATGTATGTGGGTGAGGAGAATGTATGCGTGTAGGGCTGGGTACCGAACATCGGTTCTTTTATGGTACCGACCGAAATGCTTCGGTTCTACAGAGTATCGAAACATGCCTCGTCTTTCGGTGCCAAGTTTCGGTGATTGGCTGTAACACTTAACGTGATTGCGTCATCCAGGAAAAATACACAGGTGGTCCCGCCTACAGCCAGGGTTCATGTGTATCTGTTGTGAACTGGTTGTGAGCGTCGTGAAACCCCTTTAAAATGCCCCCCAGGTCAAAAGTGCGGCTTCACTTTATTAAGACTGATGCCAATAGTGCGCAATGCAACACATCGTGCACGGAAACAATTTAAGAGCAGAAAGTTTCCCGGTGTTTGACTGCAAGAAGTGCGGACCGCAGCGGCGCGACCATCCTCCTCTCAGCAGCCCGTGGGCAGAGCAAAGCCAGAGCGGAGTGAATCATGCTGCTTTCAAACTGGACGCAGCAGGAGCAGCAAAATCACGTCTGCTGCTTCCTTTTTTACTGCATGGACCAGCTTCTGATGCGCAGCTGAAGCAGCTTTGCTGCTCTGGCTGCGCGGTGAAAAAGTGTTTCTGACGCGCGTTGGGCGGAGCTACTCTATCCTTTATTTGCCTTGCAGCTATATTTGCTGTGATCAGTGGGAATAAAGTAGTTTTAATATGTTTTTAAGTTGGAAAATCCACCTGAAAACTTAATCAGTGCAGTCAGTTCATCCTGCCTTCCAATATTATTTCTGTCGGAGCCGCTCAGACCCCCACATACCAGCGGTGCGCTGTCAGTAGGATCCCATTCAACGGGCTTGTTTGTCAGACATGGTCATTTTTCTAAAGGAAAACTGCTAAGTAAAAAGGTCCTCACAATGTAACTGTGAATATTAGACACTGAATTTTTTATCTTTTTTATGTAAGAGGAAAAATGTAAATTGAAAAATCAGAGCTTAAAATAAAACTCAAGATTTGTACTTTTTTATGTTGTGTAATTTTCTTTTTTGTCGAATTGATATTATAAAACTGGTATCGAAAAAAGTATCGTTCAGGAACCGGTATCGAAGTGAAGGTATCGGTATTGGTACCGGAACTGAAAATTTTTGAACAATACCCAGCCCTATATGCGTGTGGGAGGAGAATGTACGTGGGTGAGGAGGATGTATGCATGTGATTGGAGAATGTATGCATTTGAGAGGAGAACATTTGCGTGTGAGAGGAGAATACATCTGAGAGGAATATGTAGGTGAAGGAAAGAAATGGGGACAAGGAAGACTTTGCCTCGTCTGTTCCTGTTTGGATGTGACTCCATCCTGGAGAGAAATATCATCAACAACACCTTTGTTTATAGATGCCAGAGATCGGCCTGTTTTCCAGTGTAGTCCTGTTTCTATGACCGTGACTGAGTGGATGTGCTCTCTTCATCCTCTGACATGGGAGCTGGCTCGGAGCTCGTCTGCCTGGCTGTGTGTTTCCTGGACGGGGCCGCCTTTTACAGCTGCTTTTTGTATCTCTGCTTCTGTCTCCTTGAACCCCAGTGGGCCTCAGCAGATGGCCGCTCACACTGAGCCTGGTTCTGCTGGAGGTTTCTACCTGTTAAAGGGAGTTTTTCCTCTCCACTGTCGCTACAAGCATGCTTAGTTTGAGGGATTGCTGAAGAGTCAATGAGTCAATGCAATCAGCTGGTTTTCCTTAGATAGAAGCTTTGAATCAATGTGACTGGATGATCTGGTTGAACTGTAAAGTGCCTTGAGATGACTTGTGTTGTGAATTGGCGCCATAGAAATAAACTGAAATTGAAGGCTCAAAGGATATTTGTCAATATATGAGCCCATTTCCAATCTAAGTATCATATTTCTAGTATGAACTTGAGCAATCCAGTTTCATTCTTATAGTGGTGGTCTCGATCAAAATGAAAATTAAAGGTTGCACATTAGAAAATTAATTTCAAAATACACAATAATGATGACTCATAAGGTGATGAAGGACTAGACAATAACACGTGTATAAATGTCCATATAAAGACATAATTGTGGAAGAATAGCAGTCTTCACACAGATGGAACACCTCACCAGTGGAGGACTATGGAGGGCGTGTTCAGAGATATTACTGACTCACAAGGATATTATGATATATGTTATTTAGGTTGACCTGAGTTTGCCCAGAGCAAAGTTAAGAAGAACAGTGTTTCCAGGTGCTAAGTCAGGTTCTTATTATGTTACGTGTGTGTGTGTGTGTGTGTGTGTGTGTGTGTGCGTGTGTGTGTGTGTGTGTGTGTGTGTGTGTGTGTGCGTGTGTGTGTGTGTGTGTGTGTGTGTGGTGTGCTTTTCTTACTAAGTGCTCTAGTGGGGATCAATGTCTGGTCCCCATGGGTATAAAAGCTGGTTAAGGCTTAGGGTTAGGTTAGGTCTGAACCCATAATGTTTAGGTATAGGGTAAGGGCACAGTTAGACTCTAGAAACTTATGGAAGTCAATAGAAAGTCTCCACAAGAATGTGTGTCTGTGGAGGTATGATCCTGATAAAAATATGGGTGTGGCATATTGATGTCATAATTACAGTTCCGTTAATATTACAATGATCAGTTTAAAGCTATTATTTAATTCAATGCAGCAGCTAAATATGTTTTACATTTGTTTTACATTATTCATAAATATGAATAATGTAAATCAAAATAGAGTGAGCTGACAGACTTTTTGTTTTCAACCATTTTGTTAGCAGCTTTTGATAAGTTGTAACAAGTAACCCTCAGGTCCATCCTTCCATGTTCTCCCGCTTAAAGCGATAGTTCGGTATTTTTGACATGAATCTCTATGGCATCCCCATCACCAGCGGCATGCAATCACACTGACTTACCCCTGGCAGCGTCCTGTGAGCAGAGTTATCGTCCAGTTTTGGTCAAGCCAAAAGTAGTCCGGCAGGTTTTTAGGAACAGCGAAATAAAACTTTTCTCTTCCCAAAACATTATGTGTTCAAAAGAGCGATATTTTTGCATCCCAAAAAGATTGTAGTGGGAAAAAGTCACACGTTGTTATCAATTGGTCCTATTTTCTCTCTGTTCGTATCAGTGCGCGCCGTCATTCAGACAGCGAGCCCAACAACAGCCATGTCTCCTTCCGCCGCGGAGGGAGACATGGCTGTTGTTGGGCTCGCTGTCTGAATGACGGCGCGCACTGATACGAACAGAGAGAAAATAGGACCAATTGATAACAACGTGTGACTTTTTCCCACTACAATCTTTTTGGGATGCAAAAATATCGCTCTTTTGAACACATAATGTTTTGGGAAGAGAAAAGTTTTATTTCGCTGTTCCTAAAAACCTGCCGGACTACTTTTGGCTTGACCAAAACTGGACGATAACTCTGCTCACAGGACGCTGCCAGGGGTAAGTCAGTGTGATTGCATGCCGCTGGTGATGGGGATGCCATAGAGATTCATGTCAAAAATACCGAACTATCCCTTTAACCCATCAGGGCCACTGGGGGCCGGTGCCTATTTCTGCAGTCTTTTGGTGGTACGTGGGGTACACCCAATCCATAGCAGGATTACTCAGAGACAAACAACCATACAAACACAAATTCACACCAAAGGACAATTTAGAGATGCTAATTAACCTAACAGTCATGTTTTTGGACTGAGGGAGGAAGCCAGCGTACCCGGAGAGAATAAGCAAACTCTGTTGGACTCAGGACCTTCTTGCTGCAAGGTAGTAGTGCTACAAAATGCGCCACCATAATGCCACAGTACCCCTGAGGTGTCTTGACAAAGTCTCTTTTTGACAGCCTAATGACAGTCTTGCCTTTCTTATTTTTACAAATGGAGTCTTCACAGTTTTTACATTGATTGTCATATATAGTTAGAGTAGGGGAGAGGGGGAGTGAAAATGTTTATACAGCTGTGACCAGTTCCATGTATGAAGGTAAAGTGTGTGGTGACATGTGAGTGCAGGGTTTTTCTACATCTCACTTTTTTGTGTGCTTGTCAGCACCATCAGGAGAACCTTTTGGATGAAGAAAAACTAGAGGAAATAGAATGTACAATAGTTACATGCCCAAGGCTGTGAGGATTGTCACCCCCTGTAGTGTAAACTGCCACCTTGAATTTCCCCTGAAAGTCTAAAACATGTATCTTACCAATAGAAGAGGAGCTCAAAGATTCAAGGGAGGAGCTGAGCTGTTACTGAAGTAAAGAAGAGACAACAGCTTCCACATTGAAAACAGTTCAACACACATGACATGAACTATGCAGATCATGGAATATTATGGATTTTCTCTGCTTATTGCCACACTTCTAACAGGTCAGATTAAACCTAATTTTTTCAGGGCTTTTGAAAATGTATTCAAATATCTGCAAATATTTCTGAAATAGTTTTTTATGCTGAATTAATTAAGCAGATAACTTTACTTTCTAGGAGTCCAAAGTCAAAAAATTACTGCCTTCAAGAATGAAGAGTCCACTTTAGAGGGGAGCACTATTACCCTGTCCTGCAACTTCACCAAAGCCAACGCGCTTTTTTTATTCTGGTATCGTCAAAACCCAGGAGAAACCCCAAAATTCCTGTTTTCCCACTCCCCTTCAGCGGCAGAGCAGAAGCTCAACAGGCTAACATTTGAAGTGGATAAAGAAGAAATGAAAATGTCGATCTCCTCTGCTGCAGTGACAGACTCTGCTGTGTACTACTGTGCTCTGCAGCCCACAGTGACAGGAAACACCAGAACTCTGTACAAGAACCTGCAATACTCCACAACATCCACTAGAGGGCTGCAAACATCCAGTAGTAGGACTCTGAAGTACAGCTATAGAAACCAATATACTCAAAGGCAAAGCAGCACCTTCACTTGGAATCCAATTCACTAAGAAATTGATAATATTAACACTCAGACCTAAAACGATTGGCTGATGAGATTGGAGATATATGCAGGAAAACAGGTTCGGCCCCATTAGAAACCACTTGCAGAGGTTTGTTGTGCAACAATTTACAAACACAAAGGCCCAAAATCCAGGCATGGCCTTGTTTTAGAATAGCGGGATAGTTGAGAACTGAGAACATGTTGTTGGGTAAATACCTGCACATCCTGGATTTTTGGTTTCAGAAAGCCGGATAGTCACTATCCCAAATTTAAAGCCAGATAGCAGTTATCCCAAATTAAGTTAATATAGATAACCAACTTAAGATCTGTCAGCAACAGCCACTCACAGGTGACAATACAAAACTTTGTCCTAGCCAGGTCTTGAGGGTCAAACAGAAATACAGGTTTAACAGAAATACAGGTTTGGCAACCAGTTCAAACTCAGAACAGATCCACGGATGAGGTTTGAATCGGTGGTCAGAGAACAGCAGAACCTCAGAGGCAGATACAGGCAAACAAATCTGATGGGCTGAGGGTTGAGGCTGGTATTCAGTAGGCAGATGCATGGTTATGGTCCAGAATATTGGAGGGCAGGCTAGATAATCCAGTAAATGGAAGCAATATGGAGAAGTCAAGAGAAATAAAAGGAAAGAAAAGGAAATATATTTTAATAAAAAACTTCTCCTTTGTGATTAAACATGTTTCTATGTTTTAATGTAAATAAATCTTGCACTGTTTCACAGGGATGGACATATAAAAGATCAATTGGAGCTACATGTCTGCTGGTTTTTTTCTGTTTTGTTTTTTTTGTAAGTCATGAACCAAGGTTTAACTTTTCAAATGATAATTAGGGCTGTGAAACGATAAAAAATTTTAATCAAATTAATAACAAGGTTTCTTGAATTAATTTTGATTAATCACAAGCCTAAATATTATTGAAAAATACACATTTTCTGTGTAATCTTTTCAGAACAGAAGGATAAACAAGATGGTACTACATTTAGTTTTTATTAATGGCAAATCCAAAAAAAGAATTTAATTCTGAACAATTTTGGCAACTTAGCCATTGCTTTTTTTTTTAGCAACTACAGGATGGTTTAATGGAACGTTTATCATTTAAAACAAACAACTTCACTTTTAAACAATTATATGAGGTCTTTTTTACCTATTATTTATTCATCTTTTAGCCAGTTGTTAAGGCAAACTAACTTTTTCTTAATGTAAAGCGGACCGTTACTTAATGCCCTGCGTTCAGTGAGGGTGGTCTGATGCATGCCAGTCGTAACACCTGAAGTTGAAGCCCCAACAAATGAATGATTGGCATTAAGATGATATTTAAGCCTCGAGGTGCTTCGGTGAAATGAAAAGTCCTTCTTGCAGTGTCAGCAGTTTTTATACTCGAACTGTCCATCCAGCGGGCCAACGGGTTTTTCTGATTCCTCAATCTTGCTCATGTCGGACAATTGAATTGTGGGAATTGCGGGACTGCGTTAATGCGTTAAAAAAATATTGCGTTAATTCCAGAATTTAATCATCTCGCGTTAACACGTTAATTTTGACAGCCCTAATAATAATTATATTTGTTAAGGAATTTGAAGGTCCTATAATTCATTGTTTGAAGGTTAACCATAACAATAGCTAACAACTGGACCTCTCCTTATTTAACTGCATTTTTATATGTTATCTTGTTTCACTGCTACTTCTTTTGCCTGGTTAGTTACACCTAGATGCATATTTCACAAGCACAGAGAAAGGTTTCAATTCAGTTTATTTATATACCACCGATTCACAGTACTTCATCTGAAGGAACTTTACATTTCAACCTGATCATACAGTCAAATTGATTCAATGTTTTCTATTTAAGGAAAACCAGCTGATTGCATCGACTCATTGACTCTTCAGCAATCCCTCACACTAAGCATGCTTGTAGCGACAGTGGAGAGGAAAAACTCCCTTTTAACAGGAAGGAACCTCCAGCTGAACCAGGCTCAGTGTGAGCGGCCATCTGCCGAGGCCGACTGGGGTTCAAGGAGACAGAAGCAGACATAGAAAAAGAAGCATAGATACAAAAGGCAACTGTAAAAGGCGACCCTGTCCAGGAAACTATTAATGAGATATCAGACTGTGCTTTTTCTTATTTAAATAAAAGTAATATTGTTTTATTCTTTATGTTGAGATGTAGGGAGTTGAAGCAAGTGTGAAAAGAGGGGGTTTCCTGCCTAGTTTAGACAAGAGGGAAAATATAGATAAACATTTCCTTACTGCATTCAAGGTTCTCACATCCTTTTTCTGGTGTGAACGGAAAACAGTTGTCTTAAATGTTTAATGTCTTTGATGAATCGAGATGAATCGGGTTGTTTTCCTTCTTTTGTTTGAGAAGTGTTTGAGAAGGCTTTTTTAAGCAGGACGTGGGTTTTAGTCTCATGGGAGAAAAAGAGTGGGCTGGGATTTTTTTTAAGAGTAAAAATGTTTTTGTTTAGGATGATTGAGTCAGAGCTTTTATATACTCTCCATCCAAAGGACTTTAAATAAAATTATTATAAAAATATTATAATATTATGCAAGAAATGCTTCCAGACTCAGTTTCCTAACTTCACAAAACACACAGCCAGGGAGATTAGCTCCGAGCCAGCTCCCATGTCAGAGGATGAAGAGTGCACACCCAGTTAGTCACAGTCAGAGAAACAGGACTACACTGGAAAACAGGCTGATCTCCAACATCTAGAAACAAAGGTGTTGATGGCAGCAGCAGAGCTGATATTTCTCTCTAGGATGGAGTCACAGCCAAACAGGAACAGACCAGATGAAGCTACTATGAGAAAAAGCAGAGAGAGCAGAACGTTAGAGATTGAACTAATAGATTCTGCAGAGTGGGAGAACAGAGATGGAATGCCGGAGAGTGATGAAAAAGGGATCCCTATGTCCTGCAGCAGTCTAAAGGGCTGGTTTTCCTCCCGCAGCAGTCTGTTGCAGTGAGCTTGTTGCATGTATTTTTGATTTGTATTTTGATTTGCTATCTTAGTCCACGCCACAACGCCGGAAGCAGATCACAAACTAGCTGTGGGTCTAGAAACGGCTGAGGCGGTGAGACAGTGGGGGTAAGTTTGTCTACAATGGAGGGACATGAGGTTCAAAAAGAGCGGGGATCCAGTAGGAAAAAGGGTGCTAGCATTCTGGCGCACCTCACTCTTCTAGCTGGTCCATTTCATGATTGGTTTTCCACAATGGCGGTCATACAAACAAAACAAACTGGTAAGGTACCAAACAGGAAATATGCATAGTGCAGAGCGGATGTAGATTTGTCCAATCTGAGGCCTCCTGTCTGCAGTTTGCTACAATTTTGGAGAGGTGCAGCAGAGTGTCTGCTGAAGGGGCAGAGGCGCATTTGCATTCACTGCGATACACTCACAGACAAACTTGTTTCTGAGTGTAAATCAGCATTGGGCCTATAGCAGCATAACTATAGCGATAGCTCAGACTAACATCAGCTAACTATAAGCTGTCATGATTGGTTTAAGTGATCTGACCCACATGCAGAGAACCACTCAGAGACCAAGGGAAAGGGTTAAACAGGTATATTCAATGTTGTTGAAATACAGAAGTTGGATCTGGAACTCAGTGGACTGGTGAACCGGAAAGTCTGAAGGGGAGATCACAGTGATCAGTTCAGGGACCGTAGGAATCCAGAGAAGAGGGAACTCATTGGAGGGCGGACAGATAGACAAGTGTAGGACCCAGAGGAGTAAAGGAGCGCACTTTCACTTGGATTTCCGTTGAGGACTTGAAAGGATCACATGGAGGTTTTGCCCTGCTCAGTGTGTACTCAGTCAATCCTTCCAGGGGGAGAAGGTCCAGGTATCCAGTTACTCAGGAAGGCTTCCTGCCAAAGAGCAAAGACAAAAACTAGATAAGACTCAGAGAAACAAGGCTTAGGTTAGACTCTGCTAATCTCAGTTAGGCTAGAGTACCCAAAACTGCCAGCTGCTCAAATACTTCTCCAGTAATGATCGAACGTGCCGCAGGTGTGCAGGGAGGTCCAGCGGGGAACAGAGCATCACTTGGTCGTGGAGGGAATAAACACACAAACAACCCACACAAACTGGATTCCAAACATAAGCTTTATCAAAAAGGAAAGTTTTAAGCCCAGTCTTAAAAGTAGACAGGGTGTCTGCCTCACGGACTAAAACTGGTAGTTGGTTCCACAGGAGAGGAGCCTGATAACTAAAAGATCTGCCTCCCATTCTACTTTTAGAAATTCTAGGAACCACTAGTAAACCTGCAGATTGAGAGCGAAGTGCTCTGTTAGGAACATAAGGAACAATCAGATCTCTGATATCAGATGGAGCTTGGCCATTTAAGGCTTTATATGTGAGAAGGAGGATTTTAAATTCTATTCTGGATTTAACAGGAAGCCAATGAAGAGAAGCCAGGATAGGCGAGATATGATCTCTCTTTTTCATTTTCATCAGAACTCTGGCTGCAGCATTTTGGATCAGCTGAAGGCTTTTAACTACAGTTTGTGGACTTCCTGATAGTAAAGAATTACAATAGTCCAGCCTTGAAGTAACAAATACATGGACTAGTTTCTCAGCATCACCCCTGGACAGGAGATTGCTCATTTTTGCAATGTTGCACTGATGAAAAGAAACCCCTTTGATATGATGTCATGCACACACCACTTTGTTTTTAAAAGATATAAATATAAAGAATATAACCGCGGATGTCTGGGGGACAGTGATTCGCCTACAAGTTATGAATACTGGCGTACCATAAATGATATATTATGAACAGTTTAGTTTGTGCCTTCAAGTCGTTGCCCATAGGAAGACGTTACTTGGGTATAACCTAACAGAATACCTTCAGAACGGCTCCAAATTACACAAAACTAATATGGGTGAGTAGAACATGATGTAGTAACATAAAATCAAGTGCCCAATGTAAAAAAACAAAAAAACAAACTGCTTTTCCCTTTAAGATAAGTAGGTGTTTAGTTGAGGATAACAATTTCATTCTCTATCAAATCCATTTCATGCTCATCCTCAGGAATGTCTGGAGGTCAGTATGATAAATAAACTGGAGAAAGAAAGCCTAGCTCCTTACTGCTAGCATTGTTTGAATCACCCATGTAATCTCTACCATGAATG